TGCCTCGCCTCACCCCTGGAAGTGTTCAAGGACAGGTTGGATGGGGCTTTGAGCAACCTGATCTAGAGGGAGGTGTCCCTGCCCATGGCAGGGGGGTTGGAACTAGATGATCTTTTGAGGTCCCTTCCAACCAATTCTCCAGTTGTAAAAGAAACCTGAACATGCTTTTGTCAAATATTCTTGTAGCTCTTCTTGCCTGCAATAAACCAACCTTGGCTGCCAGGTTCTGCAGTCATTTCACAAATGGCAGAGTGCTTACCAGACATAGCAAAGTGTACATCTCTTAAGAGTGTCCATGAATTGGTGTATGTTTCTGGATTAAACAAAGGATATAAAAAGTACACTATCCAGACTCCTTTATAGCAGAGTCCTTGCAAATACTCATGTGTTCAAATCTCACCAGGCTCAAAAGCCACATCTAAAAAGAGGAATCCAGGAATGCTTTCCAAATACGGAAAACCTTCTAGCCCTGACTATCTGTCAGAAGACAACCTGGGTGCACAGAAGTCCCTCCCTCTCCCTGGGAATGAAGCCCTGGCTTAGGATTGGAGCAGGACAAAGGGCAGTTTTACAGAACTCAAGTGTCCTATAAGCGAGACACTGCCAATGAGAACACATTGAGTGCATTCTCTCTAAATAATGAAACATGAATTGTTGTAGTAAAAGAAAATCAAATGAAATCTCCAATAAAGGGCTTATAAACAGATTTAGGAGATACAGTGACTTACTTAGAGATCAGAAAATTAGATTCTAAGGGGAAAGAACAAACTAACAAAAAGGAAATTTACATAATTTTGTTATGTTTCCGTCATTCAAAATAACACATTAAGCCGATTTCCTAACTGTATTATCATCTGTATGCCCTTAGAATGCAAAAACACAAGAAGTAACCAAAGGGCTTTTCAGCTCAAAAATACAGGGCAGGAGGTTAAATCATCTGGTTGCCACCTTGCTGGTCCAAACCTGCAACTTACTGCTCAGTTCTTTTTCAGAAAAGCATTAACTCTTCTCAGTAAATCTACCTTTAAGTAACAAGGTTTGCTAATGGTCCAGAGTGTTACATACCCCTTTTGCTCTCCTTTTAGGATGTTTGCCTATTAACATTGTGTGGGATAGCACAACACAAACATGGAAGGCAGAAAAGCATGAAGTTAGTTTTAGCCAATCTATCACCTTTTTGGCTTCCTGGAAATACCTAAGATATGAGATAAAGTAACCTGTCAGCTGATAGATGGATTGTGAGTCACAGTTCATCAGTTCCAGCAGCATACACCCCATTCTAATAACTCAAAGTGTGAAGGTAAACAACTGACCATATATTTAAGTTTTAGAAAACATCTGAAAAGGAAGAAGTAGCACCAAGGGAGCTGATCATCTTTATTATTCAACAAAAAGACAAACAGAAAATAAAATACTTTAATAGGAGAAAAAAAACAAAAGGTACAATTTGAACATAATATACCATATTGAAACCATACATAATGCAACGTGAACATGAAAACACCATTAAACAGCAATCTTCCAGTAGAGATTGCATGTTTCGAGCATCACCCATCACAAATAAACAGCTTTTTGTGCATGTCTGAGTTTGTGAGAAAGATCATAACCAGCAGCAACATATTTAAATAGTTTAATTTTCATTAAACGCTTACCTAGTGAATGTATTGGATGCAATCTCTTCATATGAAAAGTACAAAATCTTCAGCAAGGCAGTGCCTGCCAATACAGATTTCAAATAAAGAGGATAAACATCTTGCAAGGGGTTTTTTTTATATTGCATTAATACACATTTGTTGCTTTAAAATGTGTATTCAAGTCCCTCAACGTTTAAACATGACTCAGCAAATGCTCAGCAACTATGCATCAAGTGACAACTAATTATTGCTATAGAAAAAAATGTTTCCCAGAGTTTTGAAACAGATGTAACTTCATTTGCAATTCTCCAGATATGTTCAAGTAATAGAAATAACTAGTTCCAGTGTCCATGAGGCATTCAGAATCTGTATTGGCTGTAAGCATTTATTGCCAGATCATAGAAATATTTTATTGAATCTAAAAAAGTTAACTAAACTTACATGTAACTGTTAAACTCCTTAGGAAAAGTACGCAGTAATAAATCCCCACAGTACGTGTTTTCATTTTGAAAAGGTAAAACTTTAGCATCAGGCTACCTTGAAGTTCCTTTCTGTCTAAGGGCACTGTTTCATAGGTGGCTTCACAGAGCAAAAGAGAAAGTAAAATCCTGAACAATCTTTTCTGTTGGATCAGCGAACCACTCCAAATCAGTATGTGGTCACGCAAGCACTAGAGCTAACAGACAACTGAGAATACACAGACAAGAGTATGGTGGCAAACAGGGAAGTTGAAATACAAGAGCCAAGTGTGCTCTGCTCTCAAAATCCTATGGATGTAGGACAGTAACAAAGTGCAAGAAATGTTAAGTTGTTATTACAAGGATATAACCTTCAAACATTTCTGAAACAGACAACTTTCTCTGCATTTCAGCCAGCAGTGCCTTCAATAATGTTTCACACAAAAAATGTAAGCTAGGAAAGTCAAGTTACAATGTATAGTGGTTTAGTTCCAACACTCAGTAAACCAGAACTAAGATTCAGTTCTGAAACCCATTACATTGCAGAATGAGGCATTTCAACCTCAGCAGTTTTGGAATATGAACTATCCCAGCATTTAAAGAATAATCAAAACCTCAGTTTGGAAACAAAGCTGGAGTCAGGGCACAAGCAGCAAACTGCAGATTGCATTTGGCTGCACGACTGATATTACTGCACATAAATCAGCAACTAAGAAAACTACTGGGGATGTTTTCCACCCCATACAATACTCATTAAGAACAGTAGCTTGACAATGGGTGATGGCAACATAGGATGAAGAGTCAGTCCTGAAAGGTATACATTCAGAACAGTCTCTGTTTAAACCTCAAAAATGTAAGCTGTGCAGCCTTCTTTCCCCTTTTCCCCTTCAGTGTTAAATAAAAGATCTTAAGGTTCTTTTACAAATGGATTTTCCATCTAAATTCAAGATCATTCTATTTTCTCCAATTTTAATGCTGGTCTTGCCAGGAATGTGGAAATTTAGAACAGGAACTCTTAAAATATGCTGGTAACTATTTCAGAACAAATTTTTTCTTCTCAACTAGTTTTTTCAAGCCTTTGGATGCAGGAGATGTATGAATTTTAAATAGCTTTACCAAAATAAACAAGTTCGTTTCTGAGTGTCGGTAGGTCTGAAGCCAATTCTTTAGTTACACAGCCTTCCATGAAAGAAAGGACAGACTAAAACTTCAGTTCCAAATGCAACCATCCAAGTTCTTATAAAGCTCCAACAAATGAAAAACTATCTGGCCACAGTCATAGACCAAAAAAGTATACCTTCTGCATGTCACCTTGAATTGCTCAGGAAATGTCATCTTCCTTAGCAGCTGGTAGTACTGGGAATACTCCTCACTCATCACATTAGTAAGCAAACATTCTATTTCAGTTATGCCCCAAAAGGGGAAAAAAATAGATGTAATTATTCCTAGGCAATGGCATCATTCTTTCTCAACAGAAGGTGAAAAAAGCCCTGCCCTGCACTGTTGATCTGTTGAAAAGAAATACTTTGTTTTTTAAGCTGTTCTTATTTTCAGTCACAGAGTAATGGTAAAAAACTAATTACAACATCAAATCAAATTTGTCCTTGGGCAGGAGGAGAAAAAATAAATTATCATCTCACAGATACCTTACAGAAGACAACTGAACTTAGACAAACTCAACAGTGCAACAGAGCATACTTGCATGTCTCTCTAGAGATACTTTCAAAGTTGGTTTTGTTGAGTTAAAATATCCAACATTAATCATAGAAATCATGTAATTAACAAAGTAGTAAAAGTTAGAGAAAATCAAGACAACAGCAAGAAGTACCAAAAAGGTCCCTAATTCCATAGGGACAGATGTCAGGAAGGATGTCGAGTTCGAATTTCAACAAATTCGTTTATCAAAAGTCCTTATGAGCATGGAAAAAGAGTTTAGCCCAAAAAGTGATTACTGAATACCATTTTTATTAGTATATCACCAGCAGAATGAATGTAGTTTTTCCTCAGATTCTCAGTAAGAGGAAGGGAGCTAAACTTTAAAAGTTCACGTGACAGGATTCTTGAACTGCATTTTGGTATTGGGCTTCTTCATCCAGCTGAAGATTCTAAACACAATGAAAACATCATCAAAATGGACAAATGTGCAAGAGGTACCATAGTCATTAGTTCAATCACTCATTTCCACATTTTCACACAGGAATTGGCACCTAGATGAAGACTCTCCACCTTTATGTGTACTAGATCGTTGTTTATGTTGCACAGTATCTTTTCTTGAACCAGGTACACAGAGACACTTGAGATAAGGGAAGAATCAGATGAGTGGGACAAGGCTCATTAAACAGAAAGGTCCATCTTCTCTCCTTGGCTCAATTACACTATGGAACTGACAGCTCAGGAGAACTGACTGTGTCACGCAATTCTTGTAACAGGGCTTCCAACCAGCCATGACACCCTCCATTAATAAAACCAAAATGGGATCCCCAGACAACAGTAATCATAGATTGCTGAGAACATACTGCTTAAAATGAGAAAGCAAACACATATCTCAAAGGATGGGTGGTTAACCCAGCTACTTTTGCAGAACTATCTTCAAAGTTGTTAATATGCCAGAGTAATACATCTTTTTGGTGCAATTCTGGCAGTTTCTCCAAATCAGAGTTCCTGTCATCACTTTTACCTATCAAACATGCAAGATGGACTGATGGTGAAGAGCCCAATCCCCTGCATCAAACTTCTAGCTATTCATGCCTTTTCACAGACACAAAGAACCTTTGCCAACTTGAACCAGTAAGGATGCCTGTGTCTCAAATATTATGCCTATCCACACAAAGCTCAAAAAGCATACCCCAAAGCCTATCAAACTCTGCAGAAACTACAACACAAACTCTCCAGCTCCCACATTCAGGACCCAACTGGCTGGCTTGACTTATGAACCACGCACTGACTACATCTGTGTTTGTAGTTCTGCATCTACTCCAAGGTCATTTACTCAAAGTGAACCTGAAAGAAGACAACCTGAATACTGATTTAATGACACATCCCTTTCAGTGTCTCTCTCTCTCTCAACATACTGGAAGAGAGGCTATAGCAGCAATACCAGCTAGTCAGGCTGTACTTTGAGTCCTGAGATTATGAGTTAGCAATTTCTGCCATAAAAAGTTAATAATGTCAATAAAACAGAGTAGCATCCATTTATTTCACCCAGAAGCAGCAGTACTAAGCTGTTGTGAGAAATAGAGTAAAAGCAATAAATAGTTCAGGTTGAGATTACTATGATAAAGACTTAAGTCATTACTTTGGAGCTGCTTAACTATCAACAACACCTATTCCCAGTAGCACTTCATGTTGATAACAGAAAGTTTAAGAACAGATAGGTCTACTTCCAAGTTCCATACAGAGCAGGAACACAGCATGTCCAGAGCACAAGTCTGATACAAATTTTTTATCTGGCATTTTTATTTATAGAAAAAAAGGTTAACATTTATTGTCCAACATATCAAAGAAGAAAAAGCTTACCACAAATTCTCCGTAGTCAAACCGGTGTCTTAGATTTAGATGGCTAACAAGATTTCTAGTAACTTGGTTAGTATCTGCCCAAGGAAGAGATACACAAATAGGACAGATCTGAATTGGGAGGGGGAGGAGAAAGAGAGAGAATTTTAAAAAACAAGTTACTGGCAATACAGAATGCATTAAAGACATGTTCTACAGGAATAACTAGTCTGTTACTCATCTACTAACAAAATACAGTAGAGATATTAACATCAAGTGATGGTTCTCAGAGTGCTTTTCCCTTCCAGTTGTGAAACATTCAAAAATTACATTTCAACTTGCTACATTTCTAAAGTGTTTCTCTTAGGAGTGGAAAACTATCATGCCTGTCTGACACCCAGTTAATTTCTGGGGTTTTAAGATTTAGAAGGGAAAGTGATTACTGCATCCTATTCATTGTTTGGGAGAATTGTCATAAAATTGAGATGATCAAGTAAGTCAAAAAATAACACACCCTATACAGATGAAAAGAATAGAAAACCAAACAGATTTTCCTCATTCAGACCCTTTGATTACCTTAGATTACTTTTCAACTAACTGTAGGTTTCACATGAAGCAATAGTTATGTTACAAATAGGCTTCTATAGAAACAGATCTGAACTACCAAATGAAGAAGAGTTAAGTGTCAGGCTCAAAAACTGAGTTTGTTTCACATCAAGATAAATGAGACAGCTAAGTCAGAAATGCCTTAGAAGCACCAAGCTGGACATGAAACGTTTTCACATGAAAGTCATTCCTCAAGTTAAATGCACTGCATGAAGTATATTGTCTGTCTCAAACCACAGTGATTGTTACAGATAGAGAGTAGTTACTGCACATTTAAAATTGTCCACATAATTACAATGAAAGTAGCTTAAGAAACATACAAAAGCAACCCTACTTACCACAGGAACTATCTGATAAAGATGTCTATTATTACAGTGATCCAGCAAGCGCTGTCTGGTAAAATTGGCTTCCTGACACAGAGGACATTTGAAGGTTGGGTGTCCACTGTAAACAGAAATACACAGTACTAAGCAAGGAACAGAGTTTTACAAGTAGTGTGACAGAAAGCTTAATGCATCTGTTATCTCATCATTGTTTTCCCTTGTTTTGATAACAACAGCAAAAAAAACCCCTGCACCCTCACTGACATAGCAGCAGACCTAATGGAGCTCTAGGGCTACTTCTAAATTGCAATTTTAAAGCACATTTATTATTTGTATGCCTAAATTCATTATTCTGAGACTTGGGTTTCAGAAAATTCTTCTGTTCCAATGGCAGCTACACCCTGTGCTTACTGCTAACATCTTTTAGTGCAAATCCTTCAGAAGAGTACTGAAAAAAACCCCAAATTCTACATACAGATGCAAATGTAGAAGAAACAACAGGATTTTTAATACAACTCATTCTAAGTATTTGTCTGTGATTGTTTTGGGGTTTTTATTAAGTTAGTGGAAGCTTGTACTGTGACTATCTGCATCTGTTTTAATAATAACCATAGAAAAATAAGCAGCCTACCTTGTTTCTCCTTGAAGTATTTGATTATTAGCCATCTCGCCATTATCAGATATTGCAGATACTGCATCACTCCTGCTACTTTAAATGAAGTCAAAGGAAAGAAACGAAAATTGAAATTATTTCGTTCTACTATCAAAATTTTTAAAAGTTTAACAGTAACGGGGGAGGAGTGAGAGAATTCAGTTCCATGAATTTCAAGACCACATAAAATGGCACATATCCTAACTCTCACAACTTTTCCTTTGGATCAAGGTATGTCTCATTATTTACAGAATCACAGAATCATCAAGGTTGGAAGAGACCTTCAAGATCCAACCATCAATCTAGCACCATCATAATCTCCCCTAAACAATATCCCTAAGTGCCACATCCAGACAGCTCTTGAACACCTCCAGAGAACCACCTCCCTGGGCAACTTATTCCAATACCTAACCACTCTTTCAGTGACAAGATGTTTCCAATATCCAATATGAATTTCCCCTGGCACAACTTAAGGCCATCTTCTCTTGTCCTTTCACTTGAGACAAGGCAGAAGAGACCAACCTCCACTTCACTACTAACCTCCTTCAAGATAGTTGTAGAGAGAGATAAGGTCCCCCTTGAGCCTCCTTTTCTCCAGGCTAAACAAGCTCAACTCCTTCAGCCACTCCACATAGGACATGTTTTCTAGACCCTTCACCAGCTTTGTTGCCCTTCCCTGGACGTGCTCCAGCACCTCAATGTCTTTCTTGTAGTGAGGGGCCCAAAACTGAACACGGTACTTTAGGTGTGGCCTCACCAGTGCCAAGTACAATGGGACAATCATTTTTCTAGTCCTGCTGGCCACACTATTCTTGATAGGCCACCTGGGCACACTGCTGGCTCATGTTCAGCCACTGTCAGCCACTTCCCAAAGTCCCTTTCTGCTGAGCAGGTCTGAAGCCACTCTGCCCCAAGCCTGTAGCGCCACGCTGGGGCTGTTGTGACTCATGTGAAGGACCAGACACTTTGCCTTATTGAGCCTCTGCTGGGGACTGGCTAGCAGAGGGGCTGTAACTCAACCAATGGT